GAAAAATAACTATCATTTAATGTGATATAAACTCTTTAAAAGCAAATTCTAGTTTAGAAAAGTAATAGATTTATGATATATTTTAAGTAAAAAGATCTGTGATAAGTTATTAGTTTTTACTTTATAAAACTCACATTATAGTAGATTTATTAACTTTAATATCCCACTTTTTTTTAATATAATTAACAAATAAAATCTAAGTTAACTTATATTAATCAGTATAAATAAAGCTCATATTTTGAGAAATTAAAAGAGTTACTTTTTTTGTAGATGTTATATTAAAAAAAATAAGATTAAAACAAGAATGTGTTTAGTGTGATTTAAAATAGAAGATATTATCAATTGATAAAATAAATTTTGTAATATTAATTTAAACAAAAAAGAAATAGCATTGTGAATTAAAAAAAGGAAGTGTTTGATATTGTAAAAAGAGATGGTATAATATCATAATATTAGATAAAAAGGATGGCATTTTATTTTTTAAAATTGCAAAATTAAAGGTATAGAATTGAGAGTTAAAAGGATTATAAGTTGGAATTGAAAAAAGAGACTGTTGAAATTGACGGTTATTGTTGTTAGAGTTAGTTATTATTGTTGGAGTTGGTTGAAATTGGAGATGGTTGTTATTATTGAAGTAGGTTGTTGAAATTGAAGAGATTGTTATTAAAGTTGATGGTTTTTGTTGTTAAAGTTTGTGGTTGTTATTAGAGTTGAATTGGCAGTTTATCGAAGGTTAGTATATTTCTATACTTTTTATTATTTTCTTTAAAACGAACTTGCTAACTTTTTTTTCCAATGATGAAATGTTTATGATTCAGTCACGTGTATATAGAATTTGGTTACGTGAGTGATGTTGCATGTATGGTCCGGACTAAAAAATCGTTGCATTTAGCAACAAGTTCCGAACTTGGGACCGGATTAAAAGATGCATTTATACAGGGTGTGCATTTATGGAGAGTGCATTTATAGAGAATTGACTGTAACACGAAACTTACTATTTTGGTCGATAGCTAATTTAAAATGTATTAACCAATAATTTACATGCATTTTTATCCAAGAAATTGTCTAAAATTCGTATAGTTAAAAACTTTAAACTCTTAAGTTAGATATATGAAAAATAACTATCATTTAATGTGATATATAGTAGCTATTGAAAATACCTAATTTCATATCATGACTTTTTATGTCCCGGACGTTGCTAAAATTCTTGGACATTGTCCCGTCCCAATGATAACACTGGTCTAAAAGGCAAAAAACTTGAACTAAAAAAATTTTATTAATTAACTTCTAATAATGCTTCGTTAACTGTAACTGTTAGTAAGGAAAACCATTATTATTATTCCATAATCATCCGTTAAATACAATTAAACCATTCTTTTTTTTTAACAATTCTGGGACATAATATTCAATTATCATCTAGATACAAAGAAAATGTTGACATTTTCACCAGTTGTAGTTTTCATATTTCAAATATCTTTTTCCGTGATGCCCGTGTAATTAATGAGCAATAATACTCCTTGAATCTATGTGAGCAAAAGAAATCGTGTATTTATATGGATGTTATCTGAACCGTTCTACAAACGGTATCCCGTAAGCATTTTTTGTACATATAACTGTATGGCTTTGTTGAATATTTATAAGCTTCTTAGCTGTGGGTTTTGAAGATATTTTGTAATTTTTAAAAAACATAATAGCAATTTTGTGACTTTTTAATCTTACTTTATTTAAACTTTAAATATTAATGTAATTTTATGAAATTTCGCGCGCGGTGAGAGAAAAAAAAGTTTAAAAATAGCTTTAAAAATTATTACGCGATATCAGTATTGGGATTCAAGTGATTCGGGCTCGAATCAACCAATAAAATTTGATTGACCCAATATAATAATTATTTATCTGGAAGAGAAGATTTATTTGGTGAAAGCATTCATATCATTCTGTTGTTTTGATGCCGAATTCTTTGATTCAGTCGTGGATTTCTAGTATATTGACTAATTTATTTTTTCATAGCCGCAGATAAATTATTACATATTAATTGAAAATCATACTGATTAGATTTAAGGAATCGAAGATTTTTTGGTGGTACAAATTGTATGAGACGAATGAAATTTGTGACGACCTATTCAAGAACTTTTCAAAATTTACAAATGGCAAAATATCGTAAATTTTTATCATGTACCAAGGCTGAAAACTTATTCAAAAAATTGGATTATTTCCTTGATCTCAAAAATCTATGAATTCAATTATTAAAAGATCATGGTAATGAGGTTCGAAATCAAGTATGTTCGTTAAATAAAAAAAAAAAAAAAAAATACAAATCTATTAATAAATCTTAATCGTTACTGGTTTTATTCAAGATTTTAGCCGTTTCTATTTTTACAAATTGTCTTGCTCTAAGTAATTCTTCTTCATCAATTTTTATCGTTTTATTTATTTTTAACCTTCTCAAACATCCGTTTCCATGTTTGATTAACATATCTAAATGATCATTACTAAACAATCTACATTCCCTAAAGCTCAATACCTTCAAATTAATGTTATCCTTGATATTAATTAGAAATTCTTTAAAGTTTTCGGGAGTAAAATGCAAATTCATCTTCAATGTAAACCTATTCATTGAAGATGGCATGGTTTTCCCGATTTCCGATAAATCGATATGAATCATTTCATTCTGCTCATAGGTATTAAAGGTGACATGTTGTAATCTCTGACAAGAGGAGAGTAATGATGGAATATATTTGACATGCTCATCTATAATGGAAATCTTAAATATCTTTAAATTATGACAATATGTCGCAACCAATGTGATTAAGTTCACCTTTCTTGAATCGCTCAAAACATCAATACCTCTAATATCTAAGCAATTTAAATTCTGACCAAACATTGAAATAATTAAAGAATAATTCCCCAAGAAATCTGTTTGAATACAATTCTTGAATTTCAGGTATTTTAATTTGGATTTGATCGGAAATTTAACAAGATGATTCTCATCTTTGGTAATGATATTCCCATGAAATTTACATTCCAAAATTTGTAATTCTTCCAAATTTTTACATTTTACTAGATAATCCAAAGTACAATTATTATTTAAATGCAGTAATTTAAATTTAATGCTTATCAAGGAAGATACCTGAGAGTTAACGGCTTCATATAAATACTTATTCTCCGAAACCAAGAATCCTTGAATGTTCAAATTCTTTAAACTCCTTTGTGATTTAATTAAATTCTTTAAATTGAAATATTTATACCCGTTATACCTTTCATTAAAGTTAAATAACAATTCCGGAAATGGTTCTGTACTATAAAATGTGATGGTTTGAAGGTCCCTGCAGACCTTGTAGCAATTAAATATTAAACCTGATAAGGATAAACCATGAAATTCCACCTCTTTAAGTGTGGAAAGGTTTTTCGCATTCGGGTATAAGAATAAATCCGCATAATCCGCATTGTTCCTTACTGCGGTTTTTCCCACGAAAAAGATAATCTTTGAAAGATTAGTTGAATTAGAATTGAAATGATAACATAATTTTTCATAAATTAACTGATGATGCGTTACAGAGAAATTTATTTCAATATAATAAATCATCTTTTTCAGGTCGAGAACTTGTAAAAATTTCGAATATGTGGTGTGTGGATTGGAGGTGATTGGGTTAATTGTATAATCTTGAATGGATTCTTTTTCTTCAGGTGAAAGGCATAGGAAAAGTGTTTCAATCAATCGTTTTGAATTTATTCGTGATTCTTGGAAAGGGTTTTTCCATAATTCCGGTAAGAAATGTTGATTCCAATGACGATTTATTAAAGAACACCTATATAAACCAGATGGATTATCTTTTAAAACGGTTGAAATTTCTTTCATACACAATTCTGGAAGGTAAGAAATATTCATGTCGAAATCTTGGGAATCAAGGTGATAGAGAACTCTTTTTTTGAAATAAAAAAAATTTTAACATTTATCATGAATATTCGTAACACAGTACACGAAACCTTATGTAGCGAGAGATTTGAAGATCCGTGAGGAAAGACATGCCCAGTTATTTTAAGATCGAAAGATCATGTCAGAGATCTTGGAGAGGTCTTCTTTTTTTTTTTTTTTTTTGTAATTCATTTGACAATATTTTAAATAATTCCAAGGATTCTAGGTTGGTTATATATATAAATATTTATAAAAATAAAATTTATTTGCGAGGGGGTAAACTAATTCTGATTGGTTCGGAAAAAAATCCTGGTTTGGAAAAAGGTCATTCTAAATTTGGTTAATTCGATTTTGTGCACTTCAAGTAGCCCATGGGAAAATTAATCACACTAAATTCTTTTTTATTTTTCTTGGAACAATAACGATGACAATTTTATCAAATTTTCAAAATTCTTTTGGAATTTCCGATATCATAAATCTATCCATTATATTAATCATTCTATATATCTCACATTTTTATTACAATTATTTTGCGCGCAACAATCCTTTACCCGGTCCATTTCCTCTTCCACTTATCGGTAACGTTCACCTATTTAAAAGGAATGAATATGGCGATTGGATCGTAAAACAACATCAAAAATATGGTTCATTGTTTGAAACTTATATATTCTCTCATAGGATAATTTACGTTTCAACCCTAGATACGATAGAGCCAATGATCAATTCATCTACGTTGAAGACCTCAAAATTCAGGTTACGTTATGAGAAACTTGATAATTTGGAAGAATTTGGTACATCCGGTAAAGGGGTCGTATTTAATTATGACTTAAAATCATGGAAGTATAATAAGCAATTTTTTATTCAATCCATCACATCTCATGGATTTTTAAGAGAAACTGTTAAAGAAACGAACAAGTTATTTAAAGAATTAGAAAGTTGTTTTGATTTGATTGGAAATGAAGGATTAACGAGCGATTTCACTTATTGGACACATAGTTTCACATCAGATTTAATCCTATTTATCACTACAGGAAGAAAAGGATATTGTATGGAAGCAAAATTTAATGAATATTATAAAAAATTCAATCATAATCTTGACAGGAATGGAAATGATGACTTACATGAGGAAAAGATTAAAAAATGTTTGAATTTATTTCATGACGTGGAATCATTATTAGCAGGATATTCGTACTTTGTCATGTTCCCTTCCTTTGTTAGGAACTACTTTCCAATTATGAAGAGCAAAACCAAATCTATTTTAGATTGTAGGGATAGAGTTTTCAATGGAATGTTACAAATAATAAACGAAAGAAGAGAAGAAATTGAACAAACTCCTTTAGGTCAACCCCTTAGAAATGATATGTTGACATCTTTTATTACGGCAAATACATCCAGGGATATTAGTGAGATTCGACAAGTTGAAGAGGAATTAATGCGTCCTATGACCAATGATGAAATTAAAGTTAATCTGTTAGAAGCCATAACCGCAGGACTTGATACCGTAGGGAAACTTTTCAAAATCAAATACCATATCATTTTTCCCCTTTCCTTTAAAACTTTGACACGTAATTCAACATTTTATTAGATGGCAAACACGATCGCGTTCACGGTTTATTACATATGTCAATATCCCGAAGTGAAAAAACGTATTTATCAAGAACTTGATGATGCGTTTAAGGACGATCCGACTCGAGACATCACTTATGATGACCTTTCAAATTTAAAATACGTCGAAGCGGTTATAAAGGAAGTAGCAAGAGTCCGACCAACGATTTCGTTAGTCGATCGATTTAATGATGGTGGAACCGTGCAAATCGGGGGGTATAGTTGGCCTCCATTTACACATTTTAATATTAATATTTTAGCCATTAATAATAGTTCAAGAGTATGGGACGAACCGGATAAATTTAATCCTGATCGATTTCTCGTCTCAAATGAAGAACAACAATTTAAAAATTCTTTCTTGATGTTTGGTGCTGGACTAAGAAGTTGCCCGGGTCGAAAGATGGCGATGATGAAATCAAAATGTTTCATTGCTTTGACTTTTAGAAAATATGATATTGAATTAATTGACAGAAAGGCTCCTTTAAAGTACTTCTATTCTACAATGAATAGGCCTTATGATTTATTTGTTAAAATTGTTCCAAGAAACTTTAATTAATGATGTCACTTGTTTGATTTGTTTATATTAAAAAAAAATGATAATTTCTTAACGTAAAAATTTGATTTTTAACCAATTAGATTTTTTTTTTTTTTCTTTCTGCAAGATATTAATCGGTCGGTTGTAATTGCGTTCATTTAAAAAGGAAAAGAGCCTCAATGACTAATCTTGCGGGTAAATAGAAGACCCGAAACTAATAAAGTTTAATCTGATTATGCATAATTTATGCATAAATCTAACCTCATGATTAACCTTTGGGGCAAACGCCCACTCAAAAATTCTCACGAAATATTTTTATCTATTTTTATCAGGTATTTGGGCGTTTTTTTTTTTTGATTATGATTTTACTTAAAATACAGACAATTTTGATATCTGTAAAACAAAAATTTTTCAGTATACG